CTATAACAGTGAAAAAAGATTATTTTTGTTTTAAATCCAAGCTATTGTGACACCAGATCTAATTAGTGGCACTTGTCAGCGTATCCACTGTTAGCGTAACACACCCGCTTTAAGGACACTGACTGCTATTCAATCTATAACAGTGAAAAAAGTGTTTTGTTTTTTTAAATCCAAGCTTTGTGTCACCAGATTTAATTGGTGGCACTGGTCAGCGTATCCACTGTTAGCGTAACACACCCGCTTTAAGGACACTGACTGCTATTCAATCTATAACAGTGAAAAAAAGTGTTGTTTTTTTTTAAATCCAAGCTTTGTGTCACCAGATCTAAGTGGTGGCACTGGTCACCGTATCCACTGTTAGCGTAACACACCCGCTTTAAGGACACTGACTGCCATTCAATCTATAACAGTGAAAAAAGTTTTTTGTTTTTAAATCCAAGCTATTGTGACACCAGATGTAATTGGTGGCACTGACTGAAAGGAAATGGGCACTGTGAGCCTGAGCACAGAAGCTGGCAGCAGTGTGGCAGACAACTAAAGTGCATTTACATTACATAGAAAATAAAAAGGAAATAAAAAAACATGCACCCTTATCCCTAACCTAGCTATGCTTTTCCCTATCTTATGAACAGCAGCTACACTTTCCCTCCTCTTACTAAGCATGCAGCTTGAGAATGAATCTAAAATGGATGCTGTCCAGTAGGTGGGAGGGTCTGCTAGGGAGGGTGTGCTGCTAATTGGCTGGAATGTGTCTGCTGACTGTGAGGTACAGGGTCAAAGTTTACTCAATGATGACGAATAGGGGGCGGGTCGAACCGCGCATATGTTCGCCCGCCGTGGCGAACGCGAACATGCTATGTTCGCCAGGAACCGTTCGCCAGCGAACCGTTCGGTACATCACTACCAGGGAATTACCGGAAGACTGAGTACTCTGGAAGACACCTCCACTACTACAGCAACCCAAATTACCTCCATGCAACAGGAGATACGGGGCCTGCAAAACAAAACAGAGGCATTTGAGCGGCGGTTCACTGCACTGGAGGACGCACGCCGAGCAGCAAACTTAAAGATACAGGGTATACCGGACGACATGCCAGCGGAGGAATTACCACATTTTGTGCAAAGACTCCTAGCAGCGCTACTACCATCACAGCAAGCAAAAGCCATAAGCCTAGACGGAGTCCACAGGGTCCCTAAATCGGCCAAAGCCCCAACAGCCTCCAGAGATACCATAATCCGCTTTCAGCACAGAGAGGACAGAGCGGCAACGATGGCCACGGCAAAAATCCATGCCCAGTACTCCTTTGAATCTATGTTACTCACCTTTTTTACAGACTTGAGCGGCAGTACCCTGGCCTGGAGAAGGTCGTTCAGGTCATTCACTGTGCTTCTTCAACAAAAAGGCACGACATATAGGTGGCACCTCAACCGCTCCCTGCTGGTATAACAGGGCGAGAACACACACAAGGTTTATGACCTACAGGATGCGCAAGACCTGCTAACCACATTGGGATTGCCTCAGGATGCTATGCGCCCCACAGCACACATCGGGACCACCATGCCACGCCACAGGTGGGATCCAGCAAAGTTTAACACTTTCGTCCAGCGACGACCCGGAAGTGGACCCCCTGCTGATAACCCAACGTGAAGAACCAGGGACACAACAATCATGATAAGTTTCTGGCCGGGACTGTTTGACCCCATTATCACAGAGTTAACTTTGTATGACTCATCAGTTGTTTTGGTTATTTTGCAAGTTTTGTTTATTCTTACTCATCAATGAGTTTTTCACTAGCAATACACGTAAGATGATGCCAGTTACCCACACGCAAAACACAGATGCCTATGCTACCCATCAGATTAACTTCTGCTTTCCCCCCTCCCCCCTCACCTCCCTTCTGCCCTACGCAGATATAAGGTGACATTTACCTATTAACGGTAGACAGATGGGGTTATCACACTACCTTACCTAGCCTACCAACTCATGGAGCAGCTTACTAAAAGCACAGCGAGACTCACTCCAGGACACACACACTAAATGCGTAAACTTAACCTCACACATCAGGTACCAACCGGTTGCTTAGTAACTAATGTCATAAGCATATTTTTAGTACACATGAGGCACTCTACAGATGCTATCTCCACCTTGCGTTATCATGTGTACTTATTTTCTTCTACCAATTACATGTTACTTGCTTGTTATCTATATCAAATATAAAATGTGCAACCTCTTAGCTATGCCAACGATTGTCATGGAATTGCTTGCATTCGCTGTCGTGGCGCTGCAAGCGTGTTTGTAACCACATGCACAAGAAAAATAAAGAATTAAAAAAAATTAAAATAACAACACTTGTTATAGGTTGCCTTCTGTTGTTGTAACAAAGTATATTGGTTTGTATGTACCAGAAAGTTTTTACCCCAATTATAGCTCATGATGGGAATGCCAGAGGGAGATATATATATATATATATATATATATATATATATAGTATAAATTCAGAGTATGGTTTGAAGAGTCGATAGCGTTTTTATTAATGAATAATTTCAATGAATGCTTAACATATGGAGATTTGTTTTACTAGGTACAGAAGATGATATCTTTTTAAATGTAATTGTTCCCAAACATATGGTTGTGGTATCATGAGAAAATTCATTCAGGGAGACTTGTATCTTATATGCAACTTCATTTCACCTTCAAAAAAAATAATAATATATATATATATATATATATATATATACACACAAAAGAAGTATTAAGGTAGAACTTGAGAAAGGACCACGAGTGGGTCTGAAACATTGATAATGCACAATTAAAACCTTTTTTTTTTTACTTTTTTCTAACAAATGTCCTATATATATAACCTGCAAAAGTTCCTAGCACTCAGGCTCAATTTTTTTTAATATGCCAGGTGCCACCCCCATAATGCTTTAGTGATATAATAATATAATAATAATCAAAAGGATGGCTGCACTCATGGTATTGTCATAATAGGTATTCCTTTATTCCAAATACATAAGCTCCATATAGATCGACGTTTCAGTCTACACAGGGACTTTCATCAGGATCAAGATTCTAAATGCAATAAAATTACTGCTGCATTATATAGCATAGAAATAATTGATAAGATCACTTACGTCAGGTGATGTGGC